CTTATAGTTGCTTACTACAAAAAAGTTAGATGAGCGTTGAGCGTGTCTAGCGTTTCTTTGTATGAAATTATATTTTAAACACGCGCTCAAAATTTGGCTTACTTGTTTGTGGTAGGGCCAACACTTTTTAGAGATACGCTGTGCCTGTAGTGTTTCTTTTCATTTTTCGTCTCTCCCCTTATTATCTTTATACTTATTACCATCTCACATCTTCCCACTACTGCTGAGTTTAGGCTTCTTTTCATTTACGCCTACTCCTCCGGTCCTCTGGCTGCCTTCCGCAACCACTGCTCACCGGCAATAGGTACGATACAGCTGGCTGGCTGATAGTCTATTTTTGTAGTTCGTGGCCGCCACTCCGTTACAGCCTTCAATTCAAGGCCTATGACTGCCTTGGCCTTATATGGTGTTACCCGAGAGATGCTTGATTTGCGCCTTTACATTCAAACCTATTTTCTTCCCGTTCAATAATGCATCCACCATGTCCATAAACCATAACAGCCACAACAGCCCTCGGCTGGAAATGGGCCTTCCCCTGTCGGAGGCATTGCCAAACTCACCACGCTTGGCAGGCGGATTGGCAGGCGCAGTTCAAGATGTTGCATTTAAAAGGAACGCTACCGCCCATTCAATTTTTTATTTTATTTGGGATGCTTACAGCCTCCTTTACAAAATAAATGACTAATTATAATAATAAATGCCAATTACAAGCTACAACAGATATGATGATGCATGATTATCCCTTAGTCGCTTTTTTCGCCACCCACGGTTAGAATTGGGGTGATGCTATTCTAAGCCAGCATCACACGGCAAATAATGCATGTAGAGAAATTATTTAATTATTAAAATAACGCCTACCTAGGAGGCATGTCTTTAGATAATCTCTTATTTTTTAACAATAATTATAAATTAAGAAAAAGCATATTTTTTTGTATAGAAAAAGAAAATTGCTTATATTTGGATTGCTCTAAAGGTATGAACACATGTTTTTCTCAGGTACACGCCTCGAAGAGTATGGACAACGCTACCATAGATCTCCACTACCTTCGAGTGGGGGAGGCTAAAGAATCACTGGATTTATTCCTCGATACCCACATTCAGAAACTCAGAGAGAGCACCAACAAAGCAGTACGGTATGTACCTAGCATTCATTTTATTTTTGAACGACAGCCTCCTGTTATGCATAATATCAGAAATAAGGAGATCTGCCACTACCTTCGCGTGGGAGAGGCTAAAGAATCACTGGATCTTTTCCTGGATACCCACATACAGAAACTCAGAGAGAGCAATAACAAAACAGTACGGTATGTTCCTAGGTTTCATTTACTTTTTGAACGACAGTCTTCTGTTATGCATAATATCAGAAATAAGGAGATCTGCCACTACCTTCGCGTCGGGGAGGTTAAAGAATCACTGGATCTTTTCCTGGATACCCACATACAGAAACTCAGAGAGAGCACCAACAAAGCAGTACGGTATGTTCCTAGCATTCATTTTATTATTGAACGACAGCCTCCTGTTATGCATAATATCAGAAATAAGGAGATCTGCCACTACCTTCGCGTGGGAGAGGCTAAAGAATCACTGGATCTTTTCCTGGATACCCACATACAGAAACTCAGAGAGAGCACCAACAAAGCAGTACGGTATGTTCCTAGCATTCATTTTATTATTGAACGACAGCCTCCTGTTATGCATAATATCAGAAGTAATAGATCTGTACTGCCTTCGTGTCGGGGAGGCTAAAGAATCACTGGATCTGTTCCTAGATACCCACATTCAGAAACTCAGAGAGAGCACCAACAAAGCAGTACGGTATGTACCTAGCATTCATTTTATTATTGAACGACAGCCTCCTGTTATGCATAATATCAGAAGTAATAGATCTGTACTGCCTTCGTGTCGGGGAGGCTAAAGAATCACTGGATCTGTTCCTAGATACCCACATTCAGAAACTCAGAGAGAGCACCAACAAAGCAGTACGGTATGTTCCTAGCATTAATTTACTTTTTGAACGACAGTCTCCAGTTATGCATAATATCAGAAATAAGAGATCTACCACTACCTTCGCGTTGGAGAGGCTAAAGAATCACTGGATCTGTTTCTGGATACCCACATTCAGAAACTCAGAGAGAGCACCAACAAAGCAGTACGGTATGTACCTAGAATTCATTTACCTTTTGAACGACAGTCTTCTGTTATAATAATATCAGAAATAAGATATCTGCCACTATCTTCGCGTCGGGGAGGCTAAAGAATCACTGGATCTGTTCCTAGATACCCACATTCAGAAACTCAGAGAGAGCACCAACAAAGCAGTACGGTATGTTCCTAGCATTAATTTACTTTTTGAACGACAGTCTCCAGTTATGCATAATATCAGAAATAAGAGATCTACCACTACCTTCGCGTTGGAGAGGCTAAAGAATCACTGGATCTGTTTCTGGATACCCACATTCAGAAACTCAGAGAGAGCACCAACAAAGCAGTACGGTATGTACCTAGAATTCATTTACCTTTTGAACGACAGTCTTCTGTTATAATAATATCAGAAATAAGATATCTGCCACTATCTTCGCGTCGGGGAGGCTAAAGAATCACTGGATCTCTTCCTGGATACCCACATTCAGAAACTTAGAGAGAGCACCAACAAAGCAGTACGGTATGTACCTAGCATTCATTTACTTTTTGAACGACAGTCTTCTGTATGCATAATGTCAGAAATAAGAGATCTGCCACTACCTTCGCGTCGGAGAGTTTGCAAGATCTTTTGAGATATTCAGGAAATGTGTCAAACTGAAATACGGAGGTGAAATAATTCCCCCAATTTCTTACGTGTTTCTTGTCGTGTTTCTTGTCGTGTCCTAAAATAAAACAATTTTCATATGCATCTGCGAAAATTCACACACACTTTAGTTCATCACATCAGCTTCTAGCAGTCTACTGCTGGATGTAGGCCTCCCCCAGGATACGCCACAAGGCACCATTTCCTGCTTTCGCCAAACATTCGCTACCGGCCACTCTCTTTAAGTTATCGGTATTTCTGGCCGGAGGGCGTCCAACGCTACGCTTTTTTTCTTTTCAAGTGGGACACCGAGTCGTCCAACGACCCGCCCGATGAACCCTAGTGTCAGAGTTTTTCAACCGCCTACTACAAATAGCACGCCTCTGACATGGTTGAGTAACGACCACCGTCTAAGTAATCTTAGACAGTAATCGGGGACCGACGGTTTGACGTGCCCTCCAAAGCACGGAACGATCTTGCTTTCGGACATCCAGGTGGTTCAGACTGCAATGTCCTAGCCAGACTGGATCAAATTCACAAAGTGATAAATATCAACTTGGTAAAGAGTTCCACCGGGAATTGAACCCGGAACCTTCTGCGTCGCAGGCAGTCGCACTACCACTGCGCCACATCAGCTGTCGCGATTGCCAAGGAATTTGTTAAACCCTTTGAAACCGCTTTACAGTTCCCACACGCTGTTCTTCATTACGGGTCGCGGTCTGCACAGCAATGGCCGTCCTCGAGTCAAGCCCGCCGTCAAGAAGAGGCTGCGAGAAAGGGGATTGGCGTAAGTTGCTTTCTTTTTATAATCCCAACAACTTGACATCATCATCTGACTGCCCTTATTCTAAAACAGATTCACGTCTCACTAGTCAAGCCAGCCGTCAAAAAGAGACTGCGAGAAAGGGGATTGGCGTAAGTTCGTTGCTTTTATACCTACTATGCTGGATGGAAGATGTTTTCCAGTAGGAGACCGCTTTAACAGACACAATTTCGCAAACGTGATTTGGCACAGAACCTAAGAACGCCCACCTTTCTAGGCAGGCAGATTCCAAAACCGTGTCTCTGCAAATGTTCTTAGTGTAGAACACTGGATTAACAGCCATGACTTGAAGGATTCGGAGGGCAATGGCTGGCGGAAGGTTGTTCTCTACGCACCCTGAGAAAGTACTAAGACCGGCAATGGAATGCATAGGGCTGATATGATCATGTCGTGTCAATAGGTCAAATGACGACCGAAAACTATATTTTGTATGAAATTATTGAAATATTACGTCATATTTCAATATTTTGTATGGATGCAAAACATTAATTTCTGTATAATTTTTGTGTTTAATAATTCTGACTTTTAATATTTTCAAAAACGATGAATGAAGTCCGTAGTATTTTTGGACAACAGTTTTAAGCATACAACATTTGTATTTTATTTACGACCCACGACCCAGTCAAGTGGCGATATGATAACATTATTCCTAGTTTAGTAATAGTATCTATTTTCTTTTTCAGGTTCAGCGAACGCAACCCAGGCCTACTGACCGCTAAAGTGACAGCCGACGACAAGCTGTCATACCAACTACAGGTGCAGGTCCCATAGTATCAACTTCAATGGATTGTCGACAATGCGCTAGGTACAGTAACATATTACCCCGTATTCGTCGCGCCTATAATGTTTCTGCCTACGACAGCCCAACAGATTTTGTCGCCTCTGTGCCAATATTTTTTCGTCTTTGACCCGTATAGTGGAGCTATAGTTTTGTACTCGCCATGCTTTTACCAAAGATTGTAATATAATGTTTTGTTTTGCGGTTGGGTTTAGGTAATGTTGTTGAGGACGATTTTATTTTTTGAGTATGATTGATAGATCATTTAATAATTATTATTTTCATTCAAAACCAGGGAACATAAAAGCTACGCTACATTCATATTTCTTGTCTTCTTGACATAAAATGAATGTTCCTAATTCAAGAATCGAGCTTATATATTTGAATAAGAAGTACAGAATACATATTTAACATTAAAATGTTGTGTGTGTAAAGCTTGAAGACGCCGCACTATCTTTTTCTGTTACGCAGATCTATATCGTTGTCCATCGTTCTCACACTCTTTAGCAAGTGTTTCTGTGTGAAAAAATTAATCAGAGCTATATCCGTTTTTTGGATTTCAATGCATTCAGAGCGCTATAATAATTATCACTAATGAAAATAAGATATTATCAAGCATCGGCCCGGGCTCGAACCCGGGACACATGGCACCATCCTACTGCTCTGCCAGTGAGCTACCGGTGCCTCGACTGACCCTTTCAAATTAAAATTCGTATTTTCATTTATGATGATAATAAATTTTATCTCGTGGCTATTATCTCTCACTTCGTGTGGGACACCGAGTCGTTCAACGACCCGATGCCTATAATTATACATAAGATGTTCGACAGAACCGCCTGATACATGGACTGGACATATTTTACCTGAGACGCACAAACTATTTTGATAGAAAAGTATTTTGGAAATGCTCAAGATATCAAAAATGATTGATTGACTTTGTATACGTAACAACTTCTGGATTTAGAATCTTGAAGAACTGGACATAGAAAGTTTTAATGATTGGGAAAAACTCATCACGACGAAAATATTAATTACTACCAGCTGTCTTAAAAGTCTTGATATTTAATAAAAAGGAACTAATTTTTTTTGAGGAATATGTTGCCATTTATAGTCAATGTTGCCATATAATTCTGCAATTACAAAAAAAAATGTCAAGACTTTTAAGGCAGAATGTATGTATGATTATTATGAAAAATGTGTGCTATTAGAATGTGTTGACATGTTAGGTTAGAAGGAAAAGATGTGACTGATTTGAATTCTAAATTTTTGAAATAATGTGACTTCGCGTGGAGTGGACAGAATCATATCAACTTTTATGAACATTTTGGAGCGTATTGTACTATGAATTTAAAATCTATGAATCAAATATATATTTGAATCTATGAATCTATCTATCTATTTAATGCTCTTACAGCACTATTTAATAAATGAAATTATAGGAAACAAAATATCTACTTCACTTCACTTCTCTTGAAGTTATAAGCTGCAAGGTAAAATTATCAACATCTGAATTAGACTCGTAGCTGCCTCATCCGGATTTTTTGTACGGACCGTCCTTATTAACATGGCCGCCATATAATCCGCCCGAATTAAGATAACGTATCATACTTAGGTTGTGCAACGGCGAGAACTGCTTTTTGAAAAAGCTGGTTTATGTCAAAAGCGAAAGAGGTGTGTCAAGATCGTAGCAAGCGGAAGGATGTAGTCTCTGCATATCCCTCCGAGAATAAGACGTGACTTTATGTATGTATGGTTTGAGTCCGCATGTGTTTCACCGGATCCGAGGCGCGGGTTGGCATGAACCGCGTCACGCAGCGCTGCTCGTATATTTTGTCGTTTCTGAACCGTGCGGACCGGTCCGGACTGAAAATCCGCATGAGGCAGCGGAAGGCCTTAGAGCCATTTCACATAAGCGATTTTTCGGCGAATTCCTGGAGCGAGATGATTTCTTAATTTGGTCCGTAGTCTTTTTATTTTGTAGCAAAGATAATCTACTTTAAGATTTTCCAAGTGGGTACTGTCACTCATTTCAGTCAGGGTAATGTTATAGGAATTGATTACATTTACACCTTTTGGTGTCTAATGTAAAAGCCTGTGGTTTAAGACTGTCACTTATTGCAGTCTAGTAGTAGGTATTTGGAACGTCATTGAATTGAAACGTTCTTTTGAATGTTGGCGAAATGAATGTTATGGTAGCTAAATGTGTTTTAAAACATTACGAATTATGAATTTTGAGATATTGCTGCAAGAAACTTGCAATTTCCTTCCATTGCTATTCTAACAAGAGATTTTAAATCTCTATTTTATTAAAAGACGTGTTAGGATTATATGTATGTGTTCAATGTTGTCTACTTGGAAATAAGTTTAGGATAATAAGGATAAGTGGATATCTCAAAGTACTCGTATCTTGATTCTTTGTTTACAAAATATTATTAAACTACTTTTTTATGAGTTTCTCCAGAGTTTCGGCTTCGAGGCCTAAACTAGACCTGACGATTTGGTGGGAAGCGAGGGCTCACCCGGAGATATATGTGTGGTTGTTCAAACAACCAGCCTAACCGCGAGTCCAACTGGTTTAGAAGTCGTTTTGAGAAGATAGTGCTGGCAATTCGGGATACACTTTCTCTGAACTACCCTTAAATTTGTACCCTTAAATAGGGTTGGAAAGCGGTACGGATGATCAAGACTAAAATTGTCTTATAATTTGACGCAAAATGCGGATTATCTGTCAAAATAAGGCGACGATAAAAACCATGGCGACTAAATTGACTACGTATGGCGAAGAACCCATTGATATATTACTTAAGACATGACAAGACTCCTATCCTCTTCCAAACCTATTTGACGATTAGGCCCCAGGGCATTACTTTTAGATATCCGTTATGTTATCATCATCGTGTTCGACTCGGCCTACAAATTTTGATTTGATTTTGTAAATAAAGAGTCAGATGCGTTTTCGTATTCATAAACGATCATATTAAGATGTGTCTCTCTTTCATGCATTCAAATAATGATAAAATATTTATTTTCATGACAAATCTATTGACAAGATACGAATAATTGCTAACCTATCACTAGCACTATAACGCACAAATAGAAGTACATTTTATTTTATAAAAATAACCGATCAAAATATATTTTGTATCTTATAACTACACGACTAGTTTTATAATACCTAGAAATGAATGACTGATTTTTCAGCAAATATGTGGGCTACTCTAATAAAACCTCATTTATTGAATTATTTAAATTTATAAATAATACAGGGCCAACAAAAAAATATATTTTGGGAATATAAAAAGATGCTTACGTTATACCTTATACGGAATATCTTTTGGTTTTGGGACCACAAAAATTAACGTTTTACTGGGACCCAATTCGATACTGAAAAATCAGCCATTGTTTTACTTTTAATATTAAAATGATTCGTGATAAGTTTAATAAAACAATACTAAGTTACTATGGTTCTAGTGCCATCTAATTAAAATCAACTTAATTTTGTTATGTTTTCTCGGAGTATATTTTTACATGTAATGATTTAGTAAATAAGTTAAGTTAATTACACAGTTAGTTAGTACACACCTATCCTATTCTGTAAGTTGACAGTCTGTGATTTTTCACAGGGTTCGTCAAAGTATTGACCGGATAAAAACTTATTTTAGTCTTTCACTGGTGTCGATTCGATAATTCTCTTAGCTAAAAACAGAGCTGTCACTTTCAGTTGAATAGGTGGACTTAGAGCAAGGATAGAAGTTCATCCCGAATAAGGTAATCTGTCAAAATTAAGCGATTATTAAGCAGATGGCGACTAGCTAAACGAAATGTGCGAAATGGCGAAGAAATTGTTTGGCGAAGAGAATATGACTAAAATTATTTACTATCGTTTTCAAAACCTAGGATAGGTTTTAGTATATCTTTGAAGAAGGTCCAATTGTGGACGCTAAACCTTTTATAAGTAATGCTCTATGATCTTCAGTGTCAAGTCACCGATTGTCGCGTGCTGTTGATATTTTTCCAATCTGATATTATTATACTAATCTTGTAGCCAAAGTCGCGTCTTATTTCCTACAGGTTATGGGCCGCCCCATACCTAAATAATAGCAATATAATTTTCCAAAAATAAAACAATAAAATAAAATTTTCATAACCCAATTTTTTTTCGGTCAGTAAATCCAAATTAGTAGGGCTTAGGGCCTCTTTTTCAGCTACCGAAACGGTATAAAATGGGAACCAACATGTTTTCAATCCCAAAACTAACGGGAAGAGAAAATTTCACATCCTGGAAATTTGCTATGGAGGCGTATTTGCAACACGAGGAGTTGTGGTCGACTGTGGCTGGTGAGTCCAAAGACGACGATAAGGACGAAAAAGCGAAGGCCGAGGACGCACGAAAGACTTAATTAATACAACTCTGGAAAACAGCGCGAGCACAGAAGAATATGTAAATAAAATAATGTCATCAGCACACAAGCTCCGTAGCATCAAGTTTGATGTGAATGACGAATGGCTCGGGACACTCATGCTAGCCGGCCTACCGGACGAATATAGGCCCATGATTATGGGGATAGAGAGCTCAGGGGTAAAGATAAGCGCAGACCTGATTAAAACTAAACTTCTTCAAGAAGTAAATAAGTCCGACAAATCAACCGCCGCTTTCTTCTCAAATTCCAAGAGCTCTCCCCATAAGAAAACCTACCAGCAACCGTCTCACTCTAAGGCCCCCGTTGTTATGCTTGCAATAAGCATGGGCACCTAGGCAAGAATTGTTGGTACCGCAAAAATAAGAAAGAAGGTGACAAAGATAAAGGGTATGTGGCAGCGTTTTCAGCAGCGAAAATAAACGACTCCAAGAACTGGTACGTTGACTCCGGAGCCACAATGCATATGACAATGCACCGTGAATGGCTTGAGGAGGAGATCGCACCACCGGTGAACACTGTTCGCATTGGTGACGATAAAAGGCTAAATGTTGAGAGCTGTGGTAGTGTTACCATTCAAGTACCGGCCGAAAACGGAGAATATGTGAAAATAAAAATAAAAGATGTGCTCTATGTGCCACTGCTATCCACGAATCTATTGTCTGTAAGTACAGTATTCAAAAATAAAAGCTGGGTGGAATTTCATCCAACTGGTTGCTACCTTCTAAATACGAATAAAGAAAAAGTGGCTGAAGCAGAACTTATTGATGGTATGTACCGACTAATTACCAAAACCGAAGTCTGCGCCATGACTGCAAAATGTGAAACTGATACATACATGTGGCATCAACGCATGGGTCACATTAACTTTACCGACTTGAAGAAATTACCAAACTGTGCTTCCGGCGTGAAAATATCTCAGGATAAAGAAGATTATATTTGTATTCCTTGCATTGAAGGAAAACAGACAAGGCTGCCGTTTCCAACCGAAGGCTCCCGGGCGACTCAGTTGCTAGAGCGAATCAATTCTGATGTGTGTGGACCAATGCAGACCGCATCTATTGGCGGAGCCAGGTACTTTGTTACTTTTATCGACGATTTTTCACGCAAAGTATTTGTGTATTTTATCAAGAGTAAAGCGGAAGTATTAGAAAAGTTTATAGAATTCAAGAGTAGAGTTGAAAATGAATTAGACAAAAAAATCAAAGTTTTGAGAAGTGATAATGGTACAGAGTACATAAACAACAAATTTGACAAATATCTGAA